AAGTTAGCACAGGCTTCAGTCATTCTTCTAAGTCATTCTCTTTCCATGGCTACCCTTAGATTCCCACTGCATTTTCATTAACACGACATAACCTTAGACTACACTAATTCCTTGTGGATGCAGGTGTGTGGTTAGGACATCTACATGGTTAGCAGGAGCTTAGAAAGAATAACGGGAAAAGAGAGAGCCCCGTGGGGGACAGGATATAACTTTCTGACCAGCCAGAAACAGGAAGAGAGAGAGGGAGATTGTGAACTTCAGCAAAGTAACTATAGACTCCTCTACATCCTAGGAGAATTAGAAAGGGTTTATCAGCATAGAGCTATGGGCCTAAAACCACCCAGAGGTGTGGAGTGGCCCATGATTCCTGGAAAGCTTGCATGTAAAGCACATGGTGAGGCACAGGCACTTGAACATGTTTTCAGAAGTGAATTCAAGGCATGGTACTCGCTGAATGTTAGTTGTGAGAAAATAAAAAGCAACATTCTCTCTAAGCCTGCATATGGTGAGCTGAGTGGGCTTTGCCTCTGAGGGATATCAGCAGTTCTCTATGCCTTCCTGTTGGATATATGTGTTGTTATAAAGTTAGCTATTTTCAAACTTCTCAATACAGCTTTGGGCAAGAACACACCTCCAGGAGTGTTGTATCTATTTTCAGGAGTGCTGGGAAAAATAAATATGCTATCTAACAATATTTCATGACTCTAATTAACCAGGAGGCACAAAAGGAGGGGCTAGACTGGGGAAGGCCAACATTAAGCAAGGCTCCAGCTATGGGCCTGACCTGGAGGCTGCATTTGGGAAAGGGCTGGACACGTGCATCTGAGGACAAGATGTGAGCATGACACCACAGATCCAAGCTTTGGCCTTGGCTGTGAGCACACTGCCACAGCCTGGTCCCAGCTGGACTGGCCTTCCTTATCCTCCACCCTCTGCACCTCCCGTCAGGGCAACAAGAATGGCAGACTCAGTGACTTTAATAGAGAAAGCCCTAGAATGGAAGCATCAACAGTCTTTACAGTTCAAACATTTACTGCCCTCTCTCTCACCCTGTCTCCACCACTGGCAGTGGTCCTGCTGTGCTAAACTGAGTGGGGAAAGAGCATCACAGGTTCCTAATCCCCACAGCTGTCTTCACCGAGGAAGTAAACCTCCGAAAGTGAGTCATGGCGACATCCAAAGCACAGGTCACGGAGCTCTTCCTGGAAGCCTCACGGGCATGCCGACCTCTGGACCTGGGCTTTGCACACACTGGACGCTTTGCAGCTTTGAGGCTGGAGTATTGCTCTCAACTAAATGACCATAGTGCACTGAGTACTAATTTGGATCCATAAGACTTGGCAAAATCAGTCTTTTTCTTCACTTATTATAACAGGAAAATATCAAAAGAGTCCTTAAAACAATCCCACTGGACTGGATGTTGGAAGGCAGCACAAGATGTCAGGAAGAACCTTTGTTTGTCTCTTTAGGGAGTCAAAGAAGATAATACTGAAGAGACCTTAAAGACCATGCAGCCCAACCTACTCATTTCCCAGACAAGAAAAGTGAAGCCCAGAGAACAGATGGGCTGCCTCCTCTAGTCATATGGGGATTAAAAATATATATGTATATTTATTTTTTATATATATATATGTTTTTTTTTTTTTCCATGAGCTTTAGTGAAAGTGACCAGTGTTATCTCATTTCCTGGCTTCTCAAATCCAAGATCCAGCCAAATCTATTATTTATAGACTGAATATACCTTATGCTTTCCTACCTCCATGCCTTTGCCCCCATCACTTGGAATGTCATCCTGCACTTCTCCAACCTCCCAACTTCCATCTTTTGCAATAATTTTCATCTATCAGTGATTAGCTCAAATATGCCATCTCTTAGATAAAAATTTCTCTGTGAAATAATATTTTTTTCTGTCAACAACAACAGCTACCACACAGCAACAGCACTTACATATGACCCATTATGGACTGGGCAGCTTGCTTACATTTTATCTCATCTAGTTCTCAAAATAGCCATATATTGGGTATATCTTTAGTCACATGTCCAGGGACACTCAGCTAGCAAGTGGCTTTGATGGTTTATTATAAATATGCTATGTACCATAATTATGCTGATAAGGAGAAGAAACTAGATTCCTTAATAGGGTTTTTTTCCCCCTCTAATCAACTCTCTCTTTTCCCCAAACCAAAATACAGGTTAACACATGGGGATTGAAATCTTCTAGTTAATATTAGGATACATAATCCGCACATTTTCAAACCTTCTAAGGTTAAAGTTTGGCCCACAGTAGAAGGCACTGCTACCTGAACTTTAATTTCAGGAAGTAGGCATGTGGAAAGTGTGTTGGAAAGTGTGCTCTTGCAGGATGCAGTTCAGTGATTGTGGATGAGCCCTGTACCTCTAACCTGGTATCTGTTAACACCTATTCAGGGTTGAATACGTCAGCGGTAGAAATAATCTGTGCACACGTCACAGAAGGCAGATGTACCCTCTACCTACTGGAGATTTCACTGGAGCCCCTGGATTTCAACACAACATTTTGGGCACATGTGCATTCTTTTAGAGACAGGTTTCACAAAATTCACTGGAGTCCTCAAGGGATCTATGAATAACAAATATTAATAATGGCCCTGTTTTAGAGGTATTGTGGAAGGCAGAAGAGCTCCATTACTACGATGGCATAAGGAGCCTTTCTGAAAAGATAAGAAGAATCTGTGGTGGGATGAAACAGTTTCTCTCTCATTTAAATAAAATATTCCTTTTTGGGAATTTGTTGAGAGGGCATCCTAGACAGTGATGGTACATTTATCCAGAGTGTTAAAGCAGCCAGGAGCTAACAGGGCTCACTCCCTATTCCTAACCCTCCAGCATTTGATAATGGACATTTGAGACTTAGACAAATGCAGTGACTTATCGGAAGCCACAAAGATCAGAGCTGCGATAAATGAAAATTCAGTTCTCATTCAATTTCACGGTCAGTCCGCATTCGTTCAGATAACACCCAGTTAAAATGATAACTGTTGCAAGAAAGGAGCCACACAAAGACCCAATATCTGCATGTGGCCTACAGAAGCAATGCTTTGTCACCTGGTTCTAGCCAATTTTATCCAAGAAATAATCCTCTTCCAATGCTTTTTCAACTTTGCAACATTACCTGTCTATAAGAAAAGAACCGAATTGTGTACTTTTCCAAATAAAGATGGAGAAAGGGAAGTTAATCTGATCTACAGCTGACATAATTTTCTTTCTTGCCTTCAAATATCTTTTGTTCTTCAATTTCTGTCTTCTTCCTACCTCACATACCTCAAATCATAACCAAGACAGTGAGAGGTAGAAAGTGGTGAAGCACAAACATTTTACCCTCCTAGGGGAGTAATAATCACCATTTCACAACGTGCTAGAATCTCATTTGAACATCACAGCACATCTGTACAGGAGAAGAAATGGTAATCTTCATTTTCTAGATGATGAGACCATGGTTTTCATACAAGCAGACAATCCTCCCAAGCAAGCAGAATAGCAAGAATTTTCATCTAACTTTGTGTTTTTTCAAGACTTTAATTTTAGGATGGTAAATATGGGGACAAAAGTCTTCAGGAGATCCCAAATGCAGAAAACATCCCTCCACATTAATTAACAAGATGTATTTATGCAGATACGCTACCAAGCAACTATAGAGACACACGCATATATTTACATTATTGTCTTTTCTGCCCAGTGAATCTGAAAGAAAGCATGTTGAAGTTCTGCTATTGACTGGGAGAATACAGGTGCAGAGAGTAGGTGATTTGTCCTTGACCACCTAATAAATGAAAAGTTACGTCAAAGAGAACTATTGCTCTATAATGTGGAAATGTTCTTGCTAGTGATGCGTTAATTTTAACAAAATGTTGCCATAATGAAGCAGCATATTTAACTCATGGAGGTTTTTTATAGCAGTGCTCTGTATGTGCAAAGTAAAATCTGATGGTGTTTCCAAATAGAGTCTTTACCATCCCCCTTTTTAAAACAAAGAACTTCAAGGGCAGAGTGGGAAGGTTTTAATGATAAAAATATAAAGAGTAGGATTCCTATGATCTTTAACGAAGAATAAACTCAATGTCTTAATTTCTTACCCTCTAAAATATTCTGGTTCTTAAGAAATCAAAGATACTTTAAAATCTAAGATAATTCTGGCTGCCCAAAAATTTCAGTTCTTGAGAAATCAAAGGTACTTTAAGATATAAAATAATGCTGAATACCAATCATTGAGAATTACCTTTTCCTTTGGGATTATTTTACTTTGGTAAACACTTTTTTTCAGTACTCTAATTAAAGATCATTCTTAATTAAGCTGAATCAAGAAATTGATGGCATGTGGCATGAATTTTGTTCCAGGGAAACTTGCTCATTTTGAAAGAACCTCTCAGCATGAAGAGATCAGCGTTGCAGGGAAATTTACAAGTCATCAGTCTGATCTTGCACTCTGGGTAGGAATGTCGTTTATAACATACCTGAGGAGTGACTAGGTAGTACCTACTAGAACATGACCTATGACACGGAGCTCACTGCTTTACACAGTAGTCCACCCCCTCCCCCGTGCAACCATTCTTATCATTTGATGGTTCTTATTTTGAATAAAAATCTACCTACTTTTAACTTTGTCCAAGACCTGGCTCCTGAACCAGCACAAAGCCCTCTCTTTCTTCACATACGAATTTTGAAGACTTGTTTCCTTGCTTCGAGTGTCTGTTCTTCTGATAAAACACCCTTGGTTTCATTGATTTGTCTTCCTGCACCTTGGGTTCAGATCTGTCAATATCATCCCTCTACAAGAAAGCGCTTTTTGCAATCTATTACAATTCACTAGTCTCTCTTTTAAATTGCATACCTCAAAATTTATGCAGTCTTTGGTAACTTTCAGAAATTGCTGCTGCTGAGAAATTTCCCTTGATTTATAAGCAGGCCTTTTTGCTCACTGTGCTCTCTTTTGGTTGTGGTGGCTCTGTGATCTGGGGACCTACCTTTGCCAAGGTCTCATCATCCAGGTGATTCTTCTGAATCACATGTTGAAGTGCAAAATAAATTTTTTCCTGAAGCTTCTGGACCTTCCTTGGTTCTATAAGCCAGGCTCGGTCTGATGAAAGAAAGAGTAGATAAGTGGAGGGAACATCAACTTTATTTTGCTTCACCCACATATATAAGTGCCAAACTTCAGACCCATTTCATATTATTTAGTTCTAAGTTGCTTCTGAAGACATGTCATTATTTACATAAAACGTAAGTATTTCATAGGCAATACCATGATGCCAGGAATGCACAATATTATGACACAGGAAATCACTTTGCAGAAAAGGACACAATGGTTCAGATGATCTGCTTCTTTGTTTCTTATTGTCTGTGACAATTTACATCTCTCACTCTTTGCTTTGGACATATGCTTAGGTTTTCTTTCAAAGTAGAAGTCAGCGATTTGTGAAGAAGAATTATAGAAGTGAAGAAAATCACAGGAATATTTTTGGTGTTCAGGATCCCTTTTCCTTTTCTCAGCTTATTTTCTCATCAGATATAAAGCTGAAGCTATGTTAGAATTTATATAGCATAAACATAAATCAGTTTCAAAAATTCACTTCTAAGTTCTATTTTCCTATATTGAATTCTTAAATGGTGAATAGGATAATCCCTTCTTTCCTTCCTCCCTCTCTTTATCTGTTTCTCCCTGCCCTCAGACCCTCTCTCCCTTCTTTCCTTCCTTCCCTCCTTTCTTCCTCTTTTTTTCTCCCTCCCTTCCTCCCTCCCTCCCACACTTCTTTCCTTCCCTCATCCCCCTCTCCTTCACTCTCTCCTTCCTTCCTTCCTAGAAGATTTATACACCGTGGTGACAAAATTCAGCCCAGTGCCTTAGTTTGGACCTTTATGGAAGAGACACTCCAAATCTTCAAATGCCGAACAAATACTCATGGAAAAGAACTCGAACATGATCTTCCTGAACACAGTTCAGGTCAGGTAAGAAACTCAATTCTGTAACCCTAGACAGGAGGAAGACAAGTCTAGCCAACAGTTAAGCAAACCCTTACGTAAGTGAGTACAAAAGCTTTCAGTGACAATTGTCAATCAGAATACATTAAGTTCCCCTCCCTCTCCCTTCCCTAAGCTGTTTGGAGCTGAATAAACAGTGGCTTTTATGTCAGGACCCTGGAGAAAGAATAGGGGGCTGTCTGGCAGGAGATGGAGCCTACATAGGCTGGAAATCTTTTTGAATATGGCACTAAGCCAGGGTGGCAAATGAGGTATTTGGAGTTCGTAAAGCCTCTCGGTGTGGGTCTGCTAGCAGCACTGGAAGAGTCCCCACTAGGTAGAGTAAACCAAATTGCATGCTTCCAAACTTCTCAGAATTTAATGATGATAGCATGTCTTTTTTCTAGAAAAAGGCCAAACAGCTCAGCTGATTTCTAATTCAGAAGGAAGAGGCTAGCTTTTCTTCTGGAGTGATCATTTTCACAGATCGTTCATATTTAATATATTTAATATTTCATGTCTTAAATATTTGCTGCTTAAAATTTACTGACTTGCTACAAATATACCTAAAGAGAAGAGTGACTCTAACGCTTCCTTTGAGCAAACAAGAACTAGAGGAAAACCATCTCCCTCATCTATAGATCCACTGGCTTAGATTTCGTTTTCTATTGAACTATTCTCAATGGAAATAATCAAATGCAATGAGAAAATGGTAGAAGGAAAATTATTTGGCATGTGGCTGCTAACAGAGAAAAGTATTCTTGTCACTTCTTCCATCTATCTTTGTGCTTCCAAGCCTGGGAAACTTTCTAGGGTTTAAAAAAAAAAAAGGCCTAGAGGAACAGCTTGATTTTAGACAGAGCCATAAAAGAAACTGTTAGTAAAAACACTCTATGTGATAACTAATTTCCATTTTTGATAAAGTGGTTAAATAAAAAACAGTAGCAAATTAAAAATATCCTGATAAGACCATCAAGAATTGTATTAGGAATAATAAAGCCTAACAGATAAAAACTGTAGACATTGGTGTTACTGGAAAATATAGCTACAGTGGCATGTTAAAATTATAATGTGTAATCTTACATCACAGGTAAGATTAATTTCTTTCAGTTTCACTGAAAAATATAATAGGGCATATATGAGAAAAGAGTTCTGGTCTCTACAGATAAATGGCTAACAGAAGAAATGAGTCTCTTGCCTTAAAAATTAGGCAGGAATTTTTCTTTCTGTAGAGACCTGTCAGTGATGCTGTTATCCCTTAACTCAAAATGTAACAAAACAACAGCTGAGTAAGTAACTGAATTCTCATTTTGGCTAAAGAGCCATGTATTTATTACTATATTATTGTCGTTATATTATTATGATTATATTATTTATTATTATATTTTAAGCTGGCATATACTTTGTCTTGCTTTGTTTTGTTTTTTTGAGATAGAGTTTGTTTTTTGAGACTCCAGTCTTGTTTCCCAGGCTGGAGTGCAATGGCACAATCTCGGGCTTACTGCAACCTCCGCCTCCTGGGTTCAAGTGATTCTCCTGCCTCAGCTTCCCAAGGAACTGGAATTACAGGCACCCACCACCATACCCAGCTAGTTTTTGTATTTTTGGTAGAGACGGTTTTTCACCATGTTAGCCAGGCTGGTCTTGAACTCCTGACCTCAGGTGATCCGCTGGCCTCGGTCTCCCAAAGTGTGGGTTACAGGCATGAGCCACCACGCCAGGTGTAGCATATACTTTTAAAAAGTATTTCACTTACTACAGTTCTAGTCGATCCGTAAATATTGTCATACCTTGAATTCTTTGAAAACTTGGCATTTCTGCGCATTTTAGAGCCAGCAGAGGTCTTAGTTATTATGGAGTCCATCCTTTTTACTTTATAGACGAGGAAACTAGGGCTCTGAGGGGTCAAATGTCTAATATCACACAGATACATGGTGACAGAGCTCGTACCAGAATGTCCACCTCCATGTCTGAAGTTTTTCCTCTTCTACCGGGCAGTCTTCAGTATGAGTAATTTTCCCCTCTGCTGTCCTCACCTCCTTTTAAAACTCCTGATACAGGTGACCCTTCTACAACGTGGGTTTGAACTGTGTAGGTCCAGTTATATGAAGATTTTCCTTCTGTTTCTGCCACCCCGGGACTGCGAGACCAAACCCTCCTCCTCCTCCTTCTCCTCAACCTACTCAGTATAAAGATGACCAGGATGAAGACCTTTATGATAATCCACTTCCACTTAATGAAAAGGAAATCTGTTTCCTCTTGCTTATAATTTTCTGAGTACCATTTTCTTTTCTCTAGCTTACTTTACTGTAAGAATACAGTATACAATACATTTAACATGCAAAGTATGTGTCAATCAACTGTTTATGTGATCAGCGAGGTTTCTGGTCGACAGTAGGCTATTGGTAGTGAAATTTTTTGGAGTCAGAGGTTACATGCAGATTTTTGACTGCATGCAGGGGGTTGATGCTCTGACCCCTGCATTGTTCAAGGTCCAATGTATTGCTAAGAAAATAGGCACTAGCATTTGTCTGAAGTGAGAACATCAACATGAATTTGGGCAAAGATGCCAACACAAGAGGTATTTAAAGAGTAGTAAGTGTTCCTTTTACTTATGTAGTTCCCCATTCTGGAGCTTTCATGTAGGTACATTTCTACTGTGTCTCATCCAACTGGACATTTATTTTCTAGGTACTTTATTCTTAAAGTCAAAATAGAACTTGGCTGTAACTCAGGCCACTATTTGTCTTCCTTTATTTGTTAAGGAATGATTCTGCTTATCTGAATCTGGAATAACCCCTACCCCATGCTCTACTCTTGCTTTTGGGCCAAAATTGGTCATTTTAATAAACTTGAGGCTACTTCCCTTTACACTGTCCAAAAATATCAAAAGCTTGGTAAAGAAAATACAGTTCTGTTAAAGTTTCTCCTGAACACTTTGGCTTAGGCAGGTGTCATCAATGTTAAAAATAGTAAAACAAGTTTTTTAAAAAGGTAAGAGAACTGAGACTGCCCTACCTGGAGATATCAGAACAGCAGATGAGAACAAAGCGATCTCCTCCTCGGTCAGCTGCAAGGAACACAAATTCTTTGCAAAGTCAAATGCTTCATTCACTAGGTCATCAGAACCTATAAAGGAGAAGAAAAATGGAATAAAAATACTTGAACTTTAAATGGGGCAAGAGTAAGAAAAATCTCATAATCAATAAGCTATCCAAGGAGGTGCATACTAGACTTCTAGAAAAGATATTTTTTAAGTTTCTAATTGTAAAAAGTGATTGACACTAGTCAAAGAATGAGAAAATTGGGCAACATCTTGGCCAGGCAATCGAAGTTAACATTACCTACCAACGACAAGCAAGTAGACTTGGTGCGTGAGCAGTGTCACATCTGCCTGGGAGTCCATACTATGATTATATCCTTATAAATTTGAAATGCTTTCGCATTAAAGAATATAAAATAAGTGATTTGGGGATCCTTTACAAGAGAGAGAGTATTCATAGAAAACCTAAAACATTACATATAGGGGCTGAGAATTGTCAGTCTTCGTAGCACTTGAAGCTAGCAATGTAAGGTATTCTGGTCTTTTAAACTGAGACGTTAGAAATATCTTATGGAACAGAGATGAGATACACTTCAGTTTTGCAGTTTCCTTGGAAATTTGATTAAGGAGCTAGAGTTCATTTTTTATTACCTTCTAATGAATGACTCACAGGTCAGTTGCTTAGCTGTCGTGAATTTTGGAAAATAATGTTGCATCTCTACACTGATCCCTGGTAAATGTTTATTTGATGAAGCTGGAAATATACTGAGGTTGCTTGCCAAGGCTTTTCCTCCTTTCTTGAAAATCTAGCCTTGGAGATGACATGGATGTGTATCAACTGTAGAAGGGAAACATTGCCAGCCCTGATGGACTTGTTGTTGGCTGCCATATCAACTAACAGCACAAGAGGTGAAAGGGCAGTGGCCTTCTTTGGTGTCCATGGGCAGGATATGGAACAAATGGCACTATCAATCGTTAAAACGTTTCCTGGCATCAGCCCATCTTTGCTAATGTTCTTCCTATCCATGCCATGCACTGATGACTGGATGTGATGATATACAACACTTCCAAACAAAGACTGACTCTGTTAGTGCATTCCCGCAGGAATGGTCTGGGATCATTGTGGACAGGTTGGCATGAACTCTCTGTGCTCCCAGAACTTTGTGAATTAACTTCTGTGGGTGAGAAACAAGTAGAGGAGCTCCTCTTTGAATTAACTATCTTAACTCATGATGATAAATTGACATAAGAAACTTAAGAGGTCACCCCCATGGATGACCAGGGGTCTACGCAATATACAATAAAGTTGAAAAAAAAAAAGCTGATCTCACAAAGAATGATCTGTAGTTCAGCCCAGCTCTTTTAGCATCAGTCTCTGGTTCTTTCTTTTTCTTTCTTTCTTTCTTTTCTTTCTTTCTTTC